AAGTGGAAAGTGGATTTACACTACCAATGGTGATTCTTACGTGTTGCTAAGAGTGGGTGTAGTTATCGATAAAGAGAATAAGAGTTGCTTTCAGAGTACAATTCCTGTTGTGTTTTACAGTTAGTTAGATTTGATAAAGCTGACGCAATATGCATCACAGCAAATTCAAGGATGAAGCATAAAGTATTCTGTGTTGATCTTTTCGGTAGGAATGTAGAACGACCCACCGACTCAATTGAACACCTTAAACTTACATATTTGAATACTTAGATGGCTCGTCCTCACTGGTCGAACGGGCCAGCATAATTTCTATTCTTTCGGAGTTTTGCCGGTTTCGTCATCGTAGTTCCCTGGAATGCCGAAAACAGCCTAGCCAAAAGTCTGCTCCAGGTCGTCATCACGACAGGCAGTCGCAGCTCTTGTGGATCAGAGGGAGATTTGCCAGATGCAACTAATTTGATACCAGGACAGTGATGGATGTTGCTGTTGGTTTACTTTCAGCTGGGCTTCCTCATGGAAAAGCCGGGCTTCTTCTCAGCATGAGAGACCCTGCTGCGGAGATGAATTCCCCCGCTGTACATCATAGCCCGGCACCCAGGAACGCCTCCAAACCATGTTAGTGCGGTAAATCGTTGGTAGGAAATACCTTAAACAGGTGATCGATTTCATATCTAGCTTATACAGTGACATACGATGGTCTGCCGTTCTATGAAACAAGTGTTTTCTATCATCTCAGACCAGTCGGATATCAGCTGGCCTATACCGAAGCATTGAGTGCACCCTTTGCCTGAGGTATCGGTCGAACCAACGACCACATGTGCCTCAGCACATTTCTCCGAACTACACGCGTCTCCGAAGGATGAGAAAACAGTAATTGAATAGTATGTCAGTGTTGAATAATAATAATAATAATAACAATAATAGTAATAATAACAATAATAATGATAGCAATAATAATAATAATAATTACTATTATTATGAAAGGTTGTAAGGTCATGAAAGTGCTTGAATGGTTGGAATTTCTATCAATTGGACCTTTTCCACGCGTTGAATATGACGATATTTGCCGCAACATTACTCGTAAAGGGATACTTCTTGTCCTAATAACATTGGGTCAGTTTATCAAAGACAGAAAATTATTGGTCGATGCCAAGGCTAATAGAATGTCGGTCTTGGGAACTGAAGTGTTTGTGTCTGATAATATTATGAGCTCTTATCTGCCATAGAGAGGCACACAATCTGCGTTAATGTAAGACCGGGAAGAGGGAAATATAGAAAAGTGACATTGACAGACTGCCAAGACTACCATATCAGTTCCAAAACTATCGAAGGTCTCTTATTCACTAGTATTGGTATTTTTCCGACTAGTTGGAATTCTTTGTTGAAATACTCTGAAAGGTTTTTTTTAGTCGTTATTTTTTTTCCCCCGACAAACACTGGACTGAAAAATGCCCCTTAGCAGTGACGTCATTTCGTTGTTATCTTAGCATAACATTGAGGTGAAGCTGATATCGAACGTCTTTCTTCGTATTTGAGTCATCGTAGCAACTCTCTTTCTCTCTTCGTCTTAGTTGTAACTTCTGTGTGTATGTATGTGTTTTTGGAACAGTAACAAACTTTTCAAGTCTACGGATGATTAAGTCGACATATACAATGGTTTGTCAAGTTTTTGCCCGTACTTCATACAAGTTTAGTTTTTCGATGCATCAGAATTCTATACGTATCGAATACAGTAATCCACAAGCTGTGTTTTATCCGGGAACGAATGTCGACGGCGTTGTACATTTAGAACTCAAGGAGTCTATAAAGGTATCTGAGAGAAATTACCTCTTTAGTAGACACATCGGTACATTGACTTTTACGCTGTATTTCTTAGAATGATGTGCTTTATAATAACTGAAATACATTTGTTTACACTGATTCGTATTATTTTTTATTTATTTATTTTTTCTTTATATGACCCGTCTTCACGTCCACTGTGCGGATCCCAGCACTTCTCACACTCGATTCGTTTCCTTGCATCCACTGTCCACGAAGATCTTCCAACTTTACGTGTGGCTTCGGTTGCTGCTTGGGGATTTTCATTTCACCCTGAATGTCGTAGAATGTTGGTCGAGCAATTCTTTCTGGAGTGCTGAGCTAGCAGGGATGGAGCGTTCCCTATTGGATTGCAGAGAGTGATTTTTCTCCAGACAAGTCCAGTACCAATTTCCCGACCCCGGAGGGATGAGAGGCTTGTTTGGCCCAAAGCCAAATCGAACTAGCACCATGACGGACATCACTACCACTGTGCTATCCGCCCCTGATTTGTATTATCTAGTGAGTTGAAAATGTATCATAAAATTAAGGAGTCGTCAAGACTGTATATTCCCTGCCGAATAGAAGCTTTTATCTTCATTTGTTATTTATGATATAAAATCAAAACAAAATTAAATGACTCGTTGGCGGCCGTGCCGGTTTGTGCTTTTTGGCATGTTGGTGTTTTATTTTATCGATTTATGGTATGTATTTTTCGTTATCTTGACCTTAAATTTATTCAAAATGCAAATTTTCAAGAAATTTGAAGGGGAACTTATGTTTTGAAATCTTCAACGCGTGCTTATGAATCGCAGACAACGGTATAGAGGGGAAGGTAGCCCCACTGAGTCCTCTGAGTCTTGTTCAATATCCATCGGTATTTGAAATGCGGGCGTCGACAAGAAGAAAAAACGAAATGATTACAGGGTTTTTTTTTGCTTTTGCTTGGCGAAAACCTATATGTTGTAACAGTTTTTACTTCTATCAGTGAAGTTCACTATGAGCAACGATATGTTTGTTTAGCGTTCAAAGGCCGAAATTATTTTTGCCCAAGTATGAGTCACTCTTTGACTCACATGGTCGCACGTATGTCGAGAAACAATGAGCCATACATATTTTTAACAGTTAATTAGAAGCAAAACATGCTGAGAGACATCTCAGTAGTAAATAAAGTAGACCTTAGCAATGTCATTATTTAAATATGATTTTTAACCAAATTCAACTACTCCAGGTGGACAGATTGTTCAAATTTTTACACATAGTTCATACAGGTTTAAGTTAATGGTAGTTAGCTTTTAGTGGTTGTTTTAGTTCAATGGCAGTGATACCGTTGGACACGCACTAGGCCCTAGTCGTCGAAACCCGAAGAAGTCAACTATGCCACCCATCCACTAACTCCTGTAAATTTTTGATGACAATCGTTTTGTTTAGGAGTTTAAAAGTAGATGACACCCTATTCTGTACATTGCTACAAACTCCGTGATTCTTCGGAATTCCGTTAATATTCCAAAAGAAGTCGAATTGCGTATAGATGTGGAGTATTCATCGAATTTCTGTTACTTTAGGCAATTTATGGTCGTCTCTTCTTGTCAAGAAGAGAACGATTTCTGGATTGATTTCTGGATTGGATTAGATTCAAAGTCAGCTTATAGGCTTAGTTATTCGAGTAATTTTGGTTACAGTTATGCAATCATATGCTTTTACATAATAACAAAAGCTTAAAGTGTTTGACGCTTTCTCTCATCAAATCCGTCAATCCAGTTAGGGATGTGCCATGAGCCGCCAACTCGCTTAAACGTCGCAAAGGTGATTAAACTCATACTTGGCCGGTATACCAATGACTTCCGAGGGACCACCGATCTGTCCAATTAGTGTTCTTATCCTCCAATAGTAGTTTAGTATCGTTTAGCGACCTCAGAGGAATGGGTGGCTTGGCTTATCCAAGGCGCTGGATAGAACCGATAACCGAGTCAGAGCGCCTCCAACGATTAGGCTGCATGCGCCTAAGCATGCATCTGAAGAGAAAACATATGTTGGCATTTTAGAGGTCTGGTCTTTAAGAATTACACAGCTCTCAATTATTTTACAGATTCTAGGCCAGATCACTAAAAATTGGAATTCACGGACTGGCGTATACACATTGGGAAGTGCGTCGATCGAGAACAAAGAGGTGAGCACTACAGGTTTTTCGTTTTCTAATCGCATAGTATTTTCTGTGCTAGATATAAACGATTTAAAGACTTGCTTAATATTCCTCTAGATATTTTGTTCGGGTAATTCGGTTTTCAACGGTTATTTTTCAACACGTTTAATTTCTCGTCTATGTCCCGATCATCTTGTTACGACAAGACGTCAGATATATCATAGATGCTTTTAAACATTTCGTTTTTCAGGCGATCAGATGGGTGAGCGAATTTCTCTGTTGGTCTGTTATACATGGTGACATTTAACTACCACAAAACCTGCGAATGCTTACAACAGATCTGTCGTAACAAGGTTTTGGGTGGAGATGGAGTATTGTAGCCTGATCTAATTTACAATCATTTCGAGAGAATTGACCAGCCGGGATGAGTCGTATATGACTCTTTTCTTTTCAGTCCTTTACTTTGTGTCACGAGTATTTTGTGATGCACTTTCTATTCGATCAATTTCTTATCTAATGCAGGCAAGTGTGCTAGGCAATAAGTAGTCAAGGCGTGGAGACTGTTAGTAATAATAAGATAAGAGCGTGTGTTACACAGATTAAAAGTGTACTCAGATGCTTCTCAGTACTGCGGTTCAAGCAGCCTTGTGTTCCAACAGACTAGCATGAAGATTTTTGCCGGTGAGAACATAATGCGTTTTATCTGAATTCATTGCGGCGAGAAATTACGTGTCTACTGGGGTCGGCAGCCTTACGAAATTAGGGATTCGTCTGACTCCAAATGTCAAAAATCTTCTCCTTGGTGAAATGAGTTAATCTAGAAACAGAAATTGTCGAATGAATATTGGTTGCATAAGAGTAGGTGGCAATTGAGAGAAAAATTCTTTAGTAATTGGTTCTTACTAAAACTACCAACTACTAACTACTGAGTTATTCGCTGATTGCGGGAAATGTATAAACATCTCAAGACAGCCATTACCACTAACGATCAAGCATTTCTCATCATCGCCATGTTATTTGCCGGTCACAGCAAATCACTTGAAAAAAATGATGATCCTACAGTACAACATATACGGAAAACTACACAGCGCCTTATTCTGCGACAGTAATTTTCGTGGATTGTGAATCAATCGCTTGGACACCAGCACGTGGTGCTAAACAGGTAGGTTTACATTCAATTCGTTGTACTCTATATTCGCGGTATAGCGTTCAAAATCACGGTCTTCTTCGTAAAAACTCTGAAAATCAAATCCACATCTGGTCTTTCAGTGTTCACAGATAGAACTTGGATGTGAGCACAAATCTTTGCCGTGAATTCTGCGAATAGCATTTATTTGATCGTTTAGGTGCTACAAGCTGGTGTCTATAAGTTTCCATTTCTATTCATGTTACCTTTGAACTGTGCTCCAAGTTTTGAAGGTGTGTTAGATTGACGGAACGAAACTTATTTACGAAACTTGTTGAATGTGGTATTCGAATTGACTCTTTGAGGATTTTATGGATATATTCGTTATATGGTTAAAGTGGTACTCGATCGTCCATGGCGATTCAACAAAACCGACAAGCGTCTCTTTACTGGTTCGTATTTTTTAAACTCACAACTAGATACAGTGCCATCATGCTGGACGCCTCAGATATGGGTGATTAATCTTCATAAATGTGTGCTCTAGTATGTTTCCTAATTTCCTACTTATTCCATCTTTTCAAGATTGTAGCCCGTAGGGATAATCCGGTTTATGCACAGTGGCTTCGATAAGCTTTACCTTATAATTTTGGAATCGTATGCACCTTGAAGGTACAGAAAGCTGACCTTAGCGTGCAAGATATTTTTCCGTCTTTTAGCTGGTTGTCTTGAAGAATGAACGTGTTCGCTTGTATTATTTCGCCCTGTATTACCGATACTTCATATATCGTCGACTTTACTCATATCATGACTGCTTTTTTGTTTTGTATTATACATTATATATGTATACCGGTCTGGAAGGGTGGCTGTACTGCATGGGTAGAGGCGACCTGCAGTAGATATATGGTCTTTGGTTTGATCTTACGCCTTAGGCATACTCTCCATCTCGCCGAGGTCAACAATCTGGTATTGGACGTCTGCGATGTTGGCAACTCTGGCTTGATACATCGGTAAGCCCCCGCAAGTTATTATATCGCACTTGTACGCGTTTATTCACGTGTTCGATGTTCGATGAAGACGAATACATTTCTCATACCTCAGGTATTGATCAACACTCAACGCCTTATCATTTATTTCATTCGGCTGGACTGTGAAAACATAAAATTTGCTGCTGGCATATAACTTCTTTTATACCACTCATCTTCATATCAACCCAACAGTTTTCACATTCGTAACCTTGCGTCCATTATCCACGCAGGCCCTCGAACATTTGGCATGTGGGTTTGGCTGCTTCTTGAGGATTGTCGTCTTCTTCATGAATGACATTGAAGGCTGGTCAAGTTGATTCTCTCATAATGTCTTGAGATACTTGGACTGATGCGTTCACACTTGGATTGCATAGTGAACTGTTTCCAGGCAAGTCTGTTGCCAATTCCTCGACCCAGGAGGGAATAAAGACGTGGTGACCCCCGGGTAGGGAAGTCGAACTAGAACTGTGGGTGTGACCATATGGAGAAGAGTTTTCGTCAATCTTCTTTTTTCACTTTAAATTTTAATCCATTAAGTGGTATGATAACTCAGAAAGAATTATGCAGTGGAACAAGAGAGCCCGGCGTTTTCCATTCGTCAATATGTCGACGGTTTTTTCTTTTGAGAGGACCGAGGGTCACTCATGCTACTTTCCATATCCTGTTGAACTTTTTCTGAAAGTAACACACATCCATTGAGGGACACCCTTTATAAGTATAAAACGAGGTATCTGAGATTGCACAACATTGGGAGTTACTCTTCGGATTTTTGTTGAACAAACGCGAAGTGTTATCTCCATAACACCTCGCGTTTGCTCAACAAAAATCCGAAGAATTACTTGATCAATGCCGACGTTAATAGAAAGTCGGTCGTGGGAGTTATTGGGAGTTAACTGTTTTCCTCTGAAACAATATCGCTGTCTTCCTGGTCTTTGCTCTACCTGAGGTGTCTTGAACGGTGTTGTCTGAAGAAAATGTTCTAACACATTCTGAGCATCTAATGCGAGTAACTATGGAGAATGAAGAAGTTTTTATATCTTCTCATGGGAACACCTATGTTGAACTTAGGTAAGTAATTAGAATTACAAAGCGAACAAACATACAGGAGCGGTGAGATATAGTAAGCGTGTTTCTGCTAGACCATTGACAATTTCTGACATAGTTTTATTTTTATGTCAGTGAATTCTTGGTAAGAATTCCATTGAAGGACTTATAAATGTTTGCATAAAATGTAAAGCAAATACATATACATGTAATAAAAATAACAATATCAATGGGTACTCCCCAATGGTTTGCCACCTCATCGTAGCTGGGAGATGTTGCTGGGTGTTGGACTGCGATGTAAAGCGGGGGGATTCATCGCACTGCCAGGGTCTCCCAAGCTGAGAAGAAGTTCGGCGTTTCCATCAAGAAGCCTAGCTAAGAGTAAACGATTACCAGGATCCACTGGCGTCCTGGTATTAAACTAGTCGCGTGGTGGCAAATCTTTCTCTGATCATAAAGGTAGCGACTGCCTATGGTGGTAACGACCTGGGGCGGACTTTCGCTAGGTTGACCTTGGGACTTCACAGAACCACAATAGCTAGGCCAGCAGAACTCTGAAATAATGGAAATTGTGCTGGAGCCCGCACAATCAGTGAAGATGGGACATCCAAGTAAGTCCCACGTCCGACTTTCTATTAACCTCGGCATTGATCAAGTAATTTTTCGTATTTTTGTTGAGCAAGCGCGAGGTGTTATTATTCTTTATTCACGAATAAGCTGACGTTTCGGCGAATTTCGTCTTCCTCAGAGCCGCTTTCTATGAGGTTTCCACTCAGTATGTCACGTAGAGACCAACCGCACAGAAATCACATGGAAGTGTAATGTCAGCTTATTCGTGAATAAAGAATAATAACACCTCGCGTTTGCTCAACAAAAATACGAAGAATCCAAGTATTCAAGTAAGAATTCTTGGATAAAAGAACAAAAGGGTTTGACGTTGATCATTCCCTGAGTGCTGTGCCATGTATTCGATCCTTCACCCATCGTTTGAGGTGACTGAATGCCTTTTTGGCCTATACAGCTTCTTGCTCTGGCCTACCTATCTATCAAATCGGTGTTGCTATCCTCCCGGAGAAGTCTAGCACAAATTTGCTCAGCCCGGAGGGATAGAACGCTTGCTGAACCCTAGGTTTGGGATCGAACAAAAGATCACGTGTTTATTGCAGGGAAACCCAAGCCACTGCGGTACACCTGCGGCGAAGTTCTGAATGGAAAAGGTCTATTTAATTTGAACAGAGTCATGAATGGAAACATCCAACTTTTCCACATCTTTCATAGACGTTGTTGAGTCAAAAAGATGATTCTCCATGCATATATGAAAGTCGGATAACCGTAACTTTTTGCAAGAAAGAATTTATTCAAATATGCCAGTAAATCGATCAAAAAATGTTTTTATATTACTTGGTGTGTACTGTTTTTGTTTTTGTTTTTAGCAGTAGTCTTCAATGCCTCTTATATTCTTAACACTAGGCATCATTGTTTAAAATAAAAAGCAAGTTTTTGGAATGTTTTAAATTCAGTGGTTCCTATGCTTGATCTGAATCAAATTCCTGAAGTAGCGGTTCCAGTTAGAGAGGTGACAGTGAAAAATTTGGGCATTACATTATTCAGACACGGCAAAGTAACCGTTGAGGTTGGTTTTCTGATTTCACTGTTTTAATATAACTAAAATGTAACTTCAATGATGCTGAGATATTTGCAAAACTGCGGACCGCAGGTGTCTGCGGTGAGGAACGAACGCGCTATTGTCCTTTACGGGGAGTAAGGCGTTCACTACCACACCATGCGGGTTCTTTGTTTCGTCTGTCTCTCAGCTAGTTCTATCGTTCTCTGCCATCAGCAATCACCCGTTAGCGGGAAACAAAGGACCCGCATGGTGTGGTGGTGAACGCGTTACTCCTCGGAAAGGGCAATAGCGCGTCCGTTCCCCACCGCAGACGCCTGCAGTCCGGAGTTTTGCAAATATCTCAGCACCATTGAAGTTATATTTCGCAATATATACCCTACCATTAGGCAGTAAATAATAAGTTAAAATAACTAAAATAGTTTTTCTTTAATATTGTTCAGCTTACATTTACGTTTATCACCTACTTTTCCATAGTGGGAGATATCCAAAAAAGGATACGTGCCCGGTGAAGCGGTCGTGGTCAATGCTGTCGTCAAAAACGATACCTCAAAAAACTTCGTTAAGGTAAAATTTAATGAAAGACTATGGAAACAAAACTAGCATCTTTTTCTATTTTTTAGCTTCGAAAAAAAATTTTTTTGTCCTTTCGGTCTGCAGTTTTATATTTTTGCTTACTTACTTACTTGTTAGAATTCCTCTTGTTTCATCCGTGAGGAACTGGGTAGATAACCACAGATTTGGACGGTGAGACATGAATCGCTGTCCTTTTTAAGAGGATTTGAGGCACAAAGCAGCGGACTTCCCGCGGGACCGCAATGGCCGACGAATGTCTTCGTTGAAGATTTGTAAATGCTCTAACGTAAATGTGTGGAGATCCTAGGAGAAATCATGGTCGGCTAACACTCAGCCTCTTAATGAAGACAGAAGGTAAAACATTCTGATGTTACATCGGAAACAGCACACGAGTCCGTACACGTTCGTGGATGACGATTGCAAGACGCCGAAATGTGTGAAAGGATTGCTAGAGCTCAGATCAAATATAAACCGAAGTAATTTATGTAATATGTCAATATATCGAAGTAAGGACTTAACCAATTATTGTGCGTGTTCTTTAATAGCGAAATATATGGGTTCGAGCATAACAAGCTTTTTAACCGTGCAGTTCTAGACAGATGTGCCTGAGGCGCCATTGGCAACTGTTTCATAAAAATATGCAACCTTCATACTAGATGTTATTCACTAGTATAATCGCTCTTGGGTTTGGTGACACTATTAGAAAGATATACTCGACGCCATACATTGCATTTAGACACTTGAAATCAACTTTTGCCACGTGAATCAGTAACCCATTGGTGATTATTGTAAATAATATTTCACGGAATTACTCTTGGCCGTTAGGAGCATAGTGGCTAGAAGTGCCATGCAACACACGCATCTTGCCGTTTCAACTCCGCTCTGGGTCAAATAAACCACTTTTAACTTTGAGGTTGGCAGTTTGATAACGCGCTCATCTGCAAGAGCTCAGTCCTATTCATAAAAGCTGGTGAACGCCTACGGTGGAAAATTCCAACAGAGCCACCACAGATTTCCGGAGTCAATTCAACCGTAATTTAAGAACATTCAAGGAAAAGACAAAATCTTGGTAAAACTGATTCAATTCTAACGCCAAGAATCACTGTTATTTAAAGATTGTTTGAGGCTTTGAAAAGATGAGTTTTTTTGCTCGCACCGAAAATAGCTAATATTCGGTGCGATTTTAATTAAAACCTCATACTTAGGCAACTTTGAAACTGTTGGAGATTTCGAAGTACGTAGCTTATGAACACAGTTGCACATTTCATCAAGAGAGTTTCCGCTGGAATGAATGCGGTCACAATTCACGCGAACAACGACGAAAATTGGCAACAGGGGAACAGGTGAACGTCTACATGTGTTAACTTTTCTTGTTCTTGAACTTCATTTACGAACAGCATGACTAGGACAACTGTGAAAATAGTCTTTGTTAAATAAGTGGATTCCGAAATAAACGGGCATCAAATTTCTTTTTAATTGGTGAGCAATCAGCTGTATCACCTGTAGTCCCGTTGATCGTCGAGTGACTCGAACGGGCGCCAATAAATCTTCCATTTATCCCTGTCGCGTGCAAGAGTAGCCACATGAGTTCTGCTCGCTCTAGGGATTCGTCGAGCATCATGTCTTTCTTCTAGGTTCTTCGTGAAGAATTCTGACCATTGAGTCGGTGGTCTTCCTGCAGTAGTTTGACATCCCGAGGAATCCAGTTACTAACAGCTCTTGTCCATCGGTTGTCGCTCATA